CATAGAATGTTAGTGCTCCTTGGTGTGACTGTGATGCCATGAGTGACTCTGCTGCATCCAACAGTCACATGACAGACATTTAAGGATTATTCTAGCTGAACTGCAGGCTGTGTGTGGAAATATGGAAACAACAACATGAGTAGTAAAATATCTTTAACATGCAGAGATACTTTTATTTTTTTCCTTTTCCCAGTTTTGATAATACTTGTCGGCACTTGGAGAAGAGTTGTAAATGTTGATTCCAGGTTTTTACAAGTTTTGTAAAAAAAAGAAAAAACAAAATTTTCAGCTTCTTTTCCTTTTTTTGGTGATTTCCAGCAAATCTTTCTCATACTGCACCGAAGCCTTTTCTGAGTTCTCTCTACCTTTAGCCATGGTTGTACTGTTTCCAAAGACGTGCTGGACTTTTTATTGCGGTGAAATATGAGCCAGCAGTGAGTGAAAATGTGACAGGAGCAGAGACTGTCTGGGCTTTACAGGGTTAATGATGTAAACTGGCACTCACTGATATTCAGATGCTCTATTTTACTCCGTTCTGGTCGACTGGCTGTTCGCTTCTATTGTGCGCGGTTCTGTGCTTCCCTAATCGTGATTGGCGAACGAAGATGGGAAGTGCGATGACGTCGACCAATGAGATTAGAGGTTTATTCCATAGGTTTGTTTCCGGAGTGAGTGGCCTGTTATTATTTTAAGTAGCGGGTAAAATATCGGTGAGTATTTCTGATTCTTATGGAACATTTGTGTGTCTTGTGGTTAGAAAAACAGAAAATGACGCGTATAAAGAATTACTTTGAGATTTGGCGTAGTTTTAAACGGTTCGTTCTGTGTGAATTTAAAAAAAAAAAAAAAAAAAAAAAAAAGTGGGCAGAGCAGAGCTCGGCGTGCGCTCCCTGCTTCTTCCCCCAGCTGAGGAAACACTCCCAGGCGGTAAACAGTGACCGAGATGTGCGCTGGTCTGACCTACATACTGGAGACGGACGGTGCAGGCTTGTGCGGGCTCCAGGCCCTGCTGTTTGTGTGCGTAAAGCCGACATAGTAAGAGGATTTCTCCTGGCAGTGTCTCTCTCTCCCCCCCACACACACACACCGAAGGAGCTCGTCACTTCCAGAAACAACCAAGAATATCTGTAATCGCCCACCGTGTAGGTGTGCAGCAGCTCCCCCCACGCTGCTGGAGCGCTGCGCCGTGCGTCAAAGGCAGCAGCGCATAGTGGAGCGCTCCGAGGCTGCTCCATCAGCTGGATACATAGACAGATAGTGGGACATAAGCACCGACTGCTGTCCATCTGCCGTGATTATCTCCATTTGTTTTTGACTGTGACCTAAATAAAAGCTAGGTGGCGCCATTTCTTCGTTTTTTTAAAAAAAATTCCCTCCTCATCAACAGGTTTCTCTCAATTCTGACAAAATGGATATGTATGCTGTGCCCAACCCGGGAATACCAGGCTGTCCACCAGGATTAGAGTACATGACTCAGGTAAAACCTTTTTTTTTTTATCTCCTTTCATTATAAATGTCTTATAGAAGTGATACATGTCAGTCCAGTGGCTTAATGTCTGTGAAAAGTCAATTGCTACTGAAGGGCAGAGGTGGGAGAAGTATTCAGATCCTTTAAAAAAAACAACACACCAATGAGGAAAAAAAAGACTCAATAACAAGTAAAAGTCCTGCACTGAAAAATGCTTAAGTAAGGATTTACGACAAAAGTAAGTTAGGTCTTTCTACCTGAAAGGCTAAATTCAGTTGTTACAGTAGCAAGCAGAAAGAGTAACGAGACCACCACCACCACATATTTAAGTAAGGATTTGCAGAAAAAGGTAGTTAAATATTAAGGTAAAGCATCTGTTTGGCCTCTGCCTGATATATTATTACATATAGAATAGAACACTTCATTGATCCACCAAGGGAGAATAGAGTAAAGTTACCACCACCACAATATGAAAATATAAAATAGAATATAAATATGTAGAGAATATAAATATGTCATTACTATTGGTAGTGAAGCATCTGTGTGTCAGCAGCGTGTTACGGCTGTAGCAGCTGGAAGCCTGAACTTGCTATACAGTTTATTATACCAGTTAAATCTGGGGTCATGGCATGATAAATGTGACAGGAAAGAAGAAGAAGAAGGAAAAAAAATTCCGATACGCAAGTCTGTTTTCAATTTTTTATTTTTTTTTTGTGAGATATTGAATCATTTGTACATTTCCTGACACCATGTGGGAACATCTGAAAAGTGACCCCTTGACTACACATTGCTTTGTGTAGGAAGCCAAAAAATTTGCTGCGGGTTTAATCTCTAACATCAACATATATTTTAAAAGCTTGTTATATATTCTACCGTGAGAAATATTCGTCTTAAAACTAAGTAAAGCTGTCGACTTGAGGGGGGTAGAGAGTACAATATTTCCATCTTAAATGTAGTATTATGTAGCATTTAATGGAAATACTCAATCACAAGTACCTCAAAATTGTACTTATCCAACACGAGAGTCATTGTGCTTGTTACATAGTATCATCTTCCATTTTGTTTCCCAAGTATTTAACATGAACTCGATTAAGTGTCACCAAATAGCATCTTTACACAGTAGAAACTGACAAAGCAGTGAATACTTTTGTTCTCATAATGTGGCTCCATCTGACTTTTTCAGAGACTACATTGATTAAATCCTGTGTAATGACGACAATTTATCTTTCCTTTCGAATTAAACGTCAAACTAACATAATCCAAAGCTCTGCACGTCACAACGGGCAGGAGCTGCACTGATCTTACAAGAGATGTTTTGTTCGCTAAGGCATTCTGACATGTCACAGTAGGAAGGTGTTAAAAAAGGGGGGAAAAAAAGGAAAAAATTAATGAATACTTGCTGAATTCCATTTGCTTCAGTTTCATGGTCGTGGTATTGTGCAAGCTGGCTCGCTGTCACGCCGTCATGGCTTACCGGGGTTTATGTTATTAGGAACACCTGTGCTTCTGCTGCGATGACAAGTCAAGATGTCTCCTGTGAGCGAGACCTATTGGGAAGGGAGCCGCTGATTAGTTGATGCAGCTGCCGTTTGTCTTTCTGCAGGCTGAGATAGTAGAAACTGTGCAACCAATTTCTCTGCTGGTGTATTTATACGCTGCAAGAAGCCCACAACAATGTCTGGAAAAAAATAACAATATACTGATCTACTTAAAAAAGACCCCACTGCATATGTTTAGCACTACACTAAACAGCTCAGTGACCCACACACAGAATGTGGTTGTACTGACTAGAAGCGGTATAATAATGCTCCTACTCCTCTGAATTGTTACATCTAAAATGCATAAATTTGAATTCATTCTATGCCATTTTCCAGGTGGATCAGCTACTCATCAAACAGAAAGTTGAGCTCGTTGAAGGTACAGTATGCAAACATGCTTTCTGCTGCTAGCTTTGTTCAGTTTTAGTGGCTCATTGTGTGTGTTTTTTTAATCCATGCAGCCCTCGTTGGGTTTGAAAGCAACAACAAGTATGAAGTCCGCAACTCCGTGGGCCAGAATGTGTTCTACGCCGTCGAGGAGAACGACTGTCTGAGTCGACAGTGTTGCGGCCCGCTGCGTCCCTTCACCATCCACGTCCTCGACAATTTCGGACAAGAGGTCATCACCGTCACCAGGCCGCTGAAGTGCATGTCTTGCTTCTTCCCCTGTTGTTTACAAGAGGTGGGCGCAGCTACTTGGAGGCAATGAATTCACAGCGTTACTGTTTACATGGACAGTCGTGACTTGACATTCCGACCCTTAATGATCCGGAAACCTTGTTATCTGACAGGTTTCTAGGAAAAACGAACAGAACCCATAAACAATAGCCTTAACATACCAACAGCCTTGGATTCCGACTCCGACATGACATTTTAAGTCACATGGCGTATTATCTGACTTAACAATTCAACAGATTTACTTACCTTTGATGTCAACCGACGGGGTCATGCACAAGCGTACCGGTCAGTAAGGTGTGAAATCCAGCTATGCATAGTGTTCTAACAATACACTAGTTATTATAACAACTATAAAAAATAAATATTCACAACAAATTACCCTTCGAGCATCAAGCCCTCCTTGTATCTCGACCTCCGTCTTGACAATCCGACAGCCTTGCTATCAGACATAAAAGAAGTTATTACATTTAGTGTTGGATTATCAACTCATGACTGTATTTGTGAGAAAACAAACTGAAGTATGACTACAAATCACGCTCTGTTCTTCCACAACGCTTCATCCAGCTGGAGGTGCAGTCTCCCCCCGGCAACACAGTGGGATACGTGATCCAACAGTGGCATCCGTTCTCCCCCAAATTTATTGTCGCAAACGAACACAACGAGCCTGTGTTGAAGATCCACGGGCCCTTCTGTGGATGGAGCTGCCTTCCAGAGGTTGACTTTGAGGTGGGTTTTTTTTTTTTATCTAAACACAGAAATCCATTAAATTTGTGAAAACACGACACGCTAACATTCTTGCCCCGCGGACGTGTTTTTTGTAAGGGATCCTCTTCATGCTCTGAAGCGAGCAATATGTTTCCAATCAAAGCGGGCTGCAGCTCGGGCGAAGCCACTGCACAGGGCATGCACTTGTGTGGTACAGTGTGACCATTGTTCCATGGCTCGGCTGGTTTTATTAGATTGAGCTGTGACGGCGATTTGGGTCACTGATACAGACCTTTTACCAGACCCAGAGGACGGGTAACTGAAGCATGATATTACCATCCAAGTTCCTCCACAGCTGCTTTGAAGACGTTACAGAGGCTTGCGAAATCTCAAATTACTGCGGCAACACATAAAACAAGATAAAAATACGAACAGTTCCATGATTTCCTTCCAGTAAAACCAAACATGGTTCAGAACTGATCTTTATCCTGCTGCAACACGTGTCAGCCATTTGTTTTCTCTGTCCTCAGATTGTGACGATGGATGAAGTCAGTAAGATCGGGAAAATCAGTAAGCAGTGGACGGGACTTCTTCGGGAAGCGTTCACAGACACAGACAACTTTGGTATCCAGTTTCCCATGGACCTGGATGTGAGAATGAAGGCTGTGATGATCGGCGCATGTTTTCTCATTGTAAGTTATTCATTTGTTCCATACTTTGAGTTGCTAAAGATCCCATATTATGCACATTTACAAGCTTCTGATTTAGTTTTATCATAATATGTTTATGCTTTAATGTTCTAAAAACACATTATTTTACTTATACATTATGTTGCTGCAACAACTTTCCTCACCTTCTGTCTGAAGCGTTCCCGTCTCTTTAAGACTCCAGTCCTGAGAAGCTCAGTTTGCTCTGATTGGTCAGCTGGCCTTGACGAAAGCAAAGTAACATCAGACTCATTAGTGATAAATCAGACCTGCACAAATTCGATCACCGGCGATGCCTGCACAGTGCATGTCGGTTACATCTCTCTCTGACTTGAGCCAGACTCTGCTCTGATGTCATGCAAATGTAGGCAACGGTAACATCGTAAGATCAAGATGGCTGCAGTTTTAGGAGCCAGGCGCCACAGTAGCTCTCCAGTGACTGAACAGCCTCAGGGCATTGTGGGAAACGTCTGGCTAACACCTGATCTAACGGCTGACTGGTTTAGATGTTGGCTCAAGAATATGATGTTTGCTGGAAGCTTTTCATTTTGTCTGATTTTGACAATTTATACTACACGTGTTTGTTGATGTTTATCCGTCAAAGAGGCTGTAATATTCAGGTTACACATCATTAATACATAGTTCTAGTCTATTGTCTATTTACACTGGGAGGATTTAGTTCCTAAAGTATTAGGCAACACAAGAATTTCTGCTGAGAGATGTGATGATTATTAAAATAACATCTGGACAGATGTTTTAGCCCTGACAGTGTGAATATGTGAAGATCAGTCATAAAACTTATTGTTCTGTCTTTCTTTCAGTTGCATTTGACTATTTTTTAGTGTTTTTAGTTTATTTATGTAGCTTTAAAGGGACAAGTTTTGTCACCGTATTTACACCCAGTGACAAACTGATCTGATGCTGATTTACATGATCCATCCATCCATTATCTATACACTGCTTAATCCTCACTAGGGTCGTGGGGGGCTGGAGTCTATCCCAGCTGACTCAGGGTGAAGGCAGGGGACACCCTGGACAGGTCACCAGTCTATCACAGGGCTACACTTAGAGACAGACAACCAAGCACACTCACATTCACACCTACGGACAATTTAGAATCACCGATTAACCTCAACATGTTTTTGGACTGTGTGGGAAGAAGCCGGAGAACCCACGCTGCACGGGGAGAACATGCAAACTCCACGCAGAAAGATCCCAGGTGTCCTCACCGGGACGCGAACTGGCGACCTTCTTGCTGCGAGGCAACAGTGCTAACTACCAATCCACCTTGCAGCCCTGATTTACATGATAATTCATGTAAAATTGAGGTTGAATCATAAACAAAAAATCAGCGTAAAGCATTTTAAAAGGCTTTTTAAAAACTATTAGGGTCTGTGTATAAACTCATATATTCGTGAAGAACATCTTTAAGGTTTTGTACAAGCAAAAGGCTGTGAGAAACTGTCCGTCTTCACTGCTGACTTTTAAATCCACCCCCTACTGCTGCTACCTGCTGTCATTCACCCGCCAGGAAAGGTGCAGCTCACCGATTGATTATGTGTCATTGCCCGGATTGCTGACTGTAGGCAGGAAGATGTCGGTCTTGCCAAAGCTGCTCTAATGACAAAATAAATGGAGATGCTGCTCATTCTCTGATGACGACTTAGAACATTCAAGAAAAGCCTGGGCTTCAAATAAGGCATTCGAGGAACTGAAGAAGCAATGTGCTCTCTGGGAAAGAATAACTCCCCTTTGGCATAGACTTTGGGCGTTGCATGCACAAAAAAAGCTATAACACTAAAAAAGAATAGGGAAAACCCCAAAAAGCATAATATGGGCCCTTTATTCAACATGTCAAGAATGTAACTTCATAACCTGGAAAGCTAAGGTCCTGTAAACAGTGTCGTTTAGGGATTTTCACAGTGCAATTAAGGAGTAACTGTCAGCACAATGTGGCTACTGCAGATGCTGAAGCCTCACATGACCCAGCCTTCATGGGAAATAGCATGTTTCTTGTCACTTGTAGTCGAAAAATTCACGTACCTACCACTTAATGTACCACTCAGCCTACATTTAGTGGGAAATGTGACCTAAAACCACCCCAATCACCACATATGCAAAACAGCTTGTCAGAGCTGCTTTGTGTAATAGCAGGAGTTTCATTTGCTGAGTCTTTCAACGTGGTTTAAATGTTAATTTCTTCCAGTTACATATCAGCAAATATATTCTATGCTTTGGCTGATACATTTGAACTTAAAATTAGGCATGAGTTCAGCGTTTAATGTTTCTGTTAACTCTTTCTTCTCTTTTCCACTACAGGATTTCATGTTCTTCGAGAGTACTAACTAGGAGCCGGACAGGATTTCGATGTAACATTCCTGGAGGAACAAGGCCACTAAGCAGCCATGAGTCAGTCTAAAATGCCCTAACAGAGAACAACCTTCAAACGGATAGTTTCGAGAAAGTACCACAAGGTACCTACATGTTATAATTTTGCATGAACAATGAAGTAGAAGGTTTGTTTTAGTCTTAGCTGCTCAGGTTGGTTGTAAAATCATGTCACTGAGCTGTGAGTGCACGATGATTTTTCCTTTTTTTTAGACAGTATTCATGAAGAAAATGATTTATTTTCTGACGTGTGTGTTTACATTTACGGTTACTGATCACATCTGGGCGCAAAACCTTTAGTTACTACTAACAAAAAACTCAAATAGAAAGAGAACATCCTTGTACACGTAAAGGGAATACAGCTGTTACACAGTTCTAACTAGTACGATCGGTGTTATTAGTGTGTGTTAGTCAAGATGTTAAGTCAAATAATCCACTCTGCTTGCAGCTATATCGAGAGAGCTGAAGGACTCGTGTGACGTAGTAATGTGTGATTCAGATATCCAACGCCCTTATTTATTGATTTCTATTTTGTTTTTCACTTTGTCAACTTAGAGCAACGTGTGTGTGTGTGTGTGTATGTGTGTGCGCTGCTTTGTGCGCGTGTTTGTGTGTCTGTGTGCTACGACTGTACTCGTGTGTGTGTTTTAACTGGAACGTAAATGGTCATAATGTAGAATACAAAGTATATTTATATTTTCAATTACCACAATAATTATGCATCGCTGACCCTGCGGAGGTTGTTTTTATGTCGAGGACGGCGTTATAGCTCAACGTGCTGTCCCAGGTTTGTCCACACGAGGGCGCTAGATACTCACCTACGAGTGACCCACCGCGTAGTCCAAATGAACAATCTCAACACCTGCTTATGCCATAGAGTTTTATTTCAAACAGTAGTGTCTGATGTATATTTTTGGACAAACTCAGGTTGAAATGCATGCTACTGTATCATACTGTTGGCTACTGCTGGCTCTGGGAATTACACACCTGCACCTGATACTATGAGTATACAGAAAGATTTGGTTTTTTTTCTTTCGGGAGAACATTTTGTACATTAAATCACCTTAATATCCATACTTTGCATATACTGGTGTATATATATCCTGGTGTATCAACTTGACATGTGATATTTCCCACTGTTATATTACACGTGGAAGTCCAACGTGTGCAAAAATTAAATATCTCAAGTTTCCAGGATAAGATAGATTCCATTGAATATCTATAAATAATGCTGCGTCATGCCTCAATGTGAAAGTCTACTATTTAATCAACATTGTAGCAAAGGTGTTAACTTTAAGGCCAGTAAGGAATCTCGTAGAGTTCTGATAAAATGTGGTTTTCCCCTCTAATGAAGGACTCTGCAAACCTGGAAAAAAAAAATGTCCATCTTAAGCCATTTTTCACACAGTAAGTCTCAAAAGCTTCACAGCTCTTATTTTTGTAAAACGCACTATACACTGCCAGTAGGAAGAGCTAATGTTGCCAGTGTAGACTTCAATTTTCTTGCGTCAACAGTATTTTATTCTGCCTTCAGTGTATTGACACTCGTTTGTAGAATTACCATAAGTGGATTTAACTCAGTCTTTATGAGCGGCATTTTTTTTGTTTTTTTGTTTTTTTGACCCTTGATGTTAAGACTAGCAACACGATTAAATACTTAAGATGGATGTTTTTTTGAAGTCTGTTTTGTTTTTATGGCATTCAGCTTGTTAAGAAACTACTGAATCACATTTTTGCCAATAGGATTAGTCTGATCATTGGGTATGGTTTCTTAGAATGCACTAATAGTATAAGATGCTGGTGCTACATCCTCTGAAGGCTCTTTGGGTGTGTTTTAAAAGCCAAAAATGATCGTCAGAATGTGACACAAAGGGAATTTTTTTGCTATTCTTCGTCAGTTATATAACAAAACAGTTCTTATTCTTCTACTTTTGCACTAATACTGTGAACTAATAACCCGTTTAGTCATGCAATGAATGGAAACTGAGCTAAGCTTCAATTGTGCAAATAGTCCCTGAAAATGTTCAATAAAAAAAAAAATGAACTAAACTAAAAAAAAAAACAACTTTGTGAGGAGTGCATTTCTTCTGTTTTCTTTGTCTACAGTATCGATTAGGCATTAAAAACCAATGAAGCTCGAAAAAGGTTTCGTTTTATTACTATTAGTGCTCAGTATCTGGGACCTTCTTGGCAATAGTCCTTTCAGTACATTTTGTAACTATCAGTGTTACAATGCTCAGACCTTGTAAATGGTTATGTAAAACCACTGAGCCTTGCTTGTTAATTAGACGAGTTCACTAGCTGCTGCACAGCAAACAGCCACCTCCACCTTTTTTTTTGTGCAATTTTCTAGAAATGTCTTTTTAAAATCTGATTTTTTTTTTCTTTTTGCTTTAAAAAACTGGCATGCAGGGTAATCAATAATATGAATGACATCACACATACACGCAACATTTCATGTTCTTGGGTTTCAAATAAGCCACTAACCTGAAGCTGTTAACCTTGGAGTGTAAAGGTCTAAACACCTCTCATTTAAAACAGCCTCTTAAAGCTTTTTTTAATCACACATCAATGAAAGGACGTACTCTGGGGCTCAGTAAGTAGCAAGGCCAGGGCAGAAGGTTGTGCTTTTGTATAACCTGTTGTCTGTGAATAATGTCACCTTGTCATTATGGCATTGATTTGATGAAAGATTCACTGATTTGGAAATGTTTTCCTACATGTTGCCGAGGCTACATGTTCATGGACATTATCAATACCCTATTAACACATATTTTTGATTGTATATTATAAAAATGAATTAAAGCGCTTCACAGTCTCAGACTTCTGAATTTCTGAGTCATAGCAAATACTTTGCTTTAGCGGTCCTGCCACAGTGGTGGTTTTTGCACATCACTATGAAACAGCACTGTATGATGCAGCACTTCTCTGAGAGCTGTAGTTAATCGAGCTGTGGTGGGGTAACAGTGTGGAGGTGTGTAGACGGAAGACAGTGGGTCATATTTTATCTAAACTTATTGTGATCATGAGAACAATTAATACCCAACTCTGGGGACGGCAGTGCTGAGGTTTGCAGTGCCGAGGCTGATGGTTGGTCAGTCAGTCCACCCCTGTGCTGCAGAACAAAAGAGCTTAATACCTATTAATAAACTAATAACCGTCTCTCTGGCTCCCACTTCCCTCTTCCCATCCATCTCCCCTCATCCTTCTTTTTCCCCCCAGTTCTTTTCACATGCATAGTCATGCACTGGACATGCTGGAATACTGTCAGCTTCCCATTTATAGAGTTGTGGCTGCTTATGAACACTTTTTTTTTTTTAGAGGATGGTGAGGAGATATTCACAAATGTATCAGACTGCTGATAAAGATGCTGGAAAAATTATAACCCCCCCCAAAAAAAGGCATGAAAAATCTAGGTCCATTGCACGCACAGTGGGTTTGAAAAATGCAAGGCCTTCATTTTAATGGGCTAGAGATATTTTTTGAAAAGAATCACCAGTCGACTTGTTCCTTCTTTTCATTCGTCTTTCTTTTATAGTCATAATTTTTCCAACCCCCTGCATCATTAATCTCTACCATGAGCACTGGTTTGATGGACACCAGCAGGGCTCCTGTCACTTTCCTGCATTAGCTCAGCATTGCAGTCGCTACCTTTAGGTTTCAGATTTCACTTTGTCCATTACTTAGATTCTTAACCAAGCAGCAGAGAAATTGATCATTACTGCGTTTGGTATTAATTAGCAGATGTTAGCATGCGAGCACACCAAACATTTATGAACATCGTCTACACTTGCTAAACATCAGCAGTTACAATCGTCATTGCGAGTGCGTGATCACGCTCACATTAGCATTTAGCTCAAAGCTATGCTGTATCTGAATATAGTTACATGAATAGGACTGTACTTATTTGATCATCAGAAAACTGCTTTTGACTGCTGTAAATATAAACCACTGTGCATATTTAAAAATCTATTAAATAAATAAATCTATTATATTTAATCATGAAAAAAAAGAAAGTTTGTTGAGGCTACAGTTACATTTAAATTCACACAACAGCCATCATGGGACGTGACTGATTTTTTTAAAAAACAGCAGCAAAGATTAAAAATGTCCAATCTTGCAATTTTGATAAATTCCTGCAAAAAAACCCCCACAAAAACCTAAGACTAATTACTTGTTCCTTTCACTGGTAGCTTTAAAGGTCCCATACTTTTCCTCTTTGTCGAAAACAGAACCTCTCTTTCAATTTGTAAAGACGATTCACTTTGCGATGACTGTAAAGCCCCTGGTTTTAGCTCTGATCCAAACGGGCTGTTCTTGTTTCTGTAAATGCAGCTTGAACTGTTGCTCTCTCCAGGAAGAAGAATGTCTCTGCATCTGTGATTGAGCAAAACAACTGACCGGCAGCTGATGCAGAAATACAGGTAAATGAGTACAAGAGATCACTTTCTGTTGCTTCTAAGTTTCTCTCTGAGCGATCATTTGGCATGGAAGTATGGACAAATTCCCAGCATGGACACCGTTTGTAACTTATATGGAGTTTAAGTAAATCAGTAGTTTAGCAGTGTATCTTGGAAATGGCTGTGGATTGATTGCTGGTTCACATGCAGTCTTAATGGGCTCCATATCAGTCCCTATTTCATACTTCTTCTGTTGTCTGCCAACAGAAACAGAAAAAAAAACAAACGTTAATGGAAAAAGCTTTGTTGGGAATTCAGCTGTATTAAAACACAGCACAGAAAGAAGACAGAAGAGAAGAAGATGTAAACACTGGTCAAGCTTGAGATGCAATGAAGCACAGAAATCAGTCGTTAAGTTTCTGAATGTCCCTCAGCATTAGAGTTTCTGCAGAGCTTTAACCTTTGACCATACAATCAAAGCTCATTAACCACATTAGCTGCACAATAAATTAAGGATTTGACTATTGTTGTGGTGACATTATCATTAAAACTCAAAGTAAACCACTGGTGCTTCAGTTCCCACAGATGCTGGGAGTGCATGAAGGCTCTTATGTTCACTCTTGCAGCCAACAGCAGAAACTTTATTGTCCTTTGCTTGTTGCCGGGACATTCTGGGGTTAACAGAAGCAGCTGTAGAAAGTAAACAAACCTGGCGAACAGCCAAGCAGATGCTCTCCTGCAATGGTTCACCTGGGAGCAGCAGGCAGTAAATGGGCAGGATTATGCATAGTTTGAGCTCGACAACAACCCCTTATCAGTTGGAATGCAGCAGACAGGCCATCTCGATGAGGGGGGGTTTAGAAAAGCAGAAGTAAACATCTTCATATCTTAAAAGCTTTTACTTTACACCTCCAAGTTTTTACCAACCGCTAAACTAAACACAATAAAAACTGATTTTCACCGTGTGTGGCCTTTATGACACGACAATCTACAAAAACCTGTAGCACATAAAACTGACTTTTCACTACTGTTTTGTTCCATTTATACATTGAGCACAATTTGTGGTTGCTGTATTCTGACAATTTTGTTGCTTGGTTACCAACATCACCACCAAGCCTTAAGCTCTCACCTTTGACCTCCTGGTGACCCTGCATTTTAATTAGTGTTACTGGGAACATTCTCCAAGTGAAAATCATTGCAGGAACAGCTGTGGGTCACAAAGATTGTTTCATGCCAATTCATTTTTGAACAGACTTCGGAGACTTCCTCAGAAAACGCCTTCTCAAGGGGCACAAAGTAAGACTTCTTGATTCTCTGGAATTGTGCTGTACGATGTTTCCGAGGAAAAAGATCCACATTTGGAATGAATTAAACACCCAGACCACACAGAGCTGATGTCACTGATGTAAGTGCAGCAACAGTGATTTGTTAGGTGCCATTTTTTTCCCCCAGCTACAGTATGTGGGATTATGTTTGGTGCAACACCCCATTTCATAGACTTCCCTTTTAATGAAACACATATGAAAAGCTTTGCATGCCATAAACTATGTAATAACTTTGTCATATGTATATGTATAAAAACACACACACACACAATGAGGGGCAGCAAGTGAATTTGAAAGGCTGGGAGTCATGCAATGCAAATAAACAGCTTTAAAAGGCTTTCCCTCAGTGAGTGAAGCAGATATTTAACTTGGGGCAGCCATGTGTTGGCTGTGTGTTTACACTACTGACAGATTCATGCTGATGAACTGTATGGCTGAATCACGGCACACATGTTGGATAATGGCTGAATAGGACTGTTTTCCATACATAGAGTTTTTCCTGTTAGGATTGTGATAACAGTGATCAAAACCTAAAGAAAAATGATGTTTAAACTTGGTTCCTGACAGCATGGAGCAAAAGAAAACACACTCCACTCATATCTTTTTACAGGTCAACATGCACTGAGAACTAAATGGAATGCAGCTTTCTCTCTGTCAGGGTGTCTGCAGTTGGCTCCCGACAGCATACAGTAACTGGAATTTCTGGTATCTGTGTTTTCGGCCCGCTGTGATAAACAAATGGCTAAAGCAACATCTGTGCAAACACAGTCTAAGACAACACCATGATGGGGGGAAGAGAACAAATGTAAAATATAAAACGGGGGATGGTTCTTTACTTTTACACAAGCTTTCCAAAGAACAAATCAAGAACTTGATACTGTCCAACACTGTGTCCTAAGACTGATGTTCATAAGGACCTTAACAGCATTTTGCATCATTAAATACATTTGTAAGAAGCACAATGCCACTCAGGTTTAGTTTCTTATTTAACTGGTTATAAGGAGAAACATTTCTATTGATCATCTGCAAAGCGCCAATCATTTGCTTTTGCTGCACTACATGCTTCTGGTCAGTTAAAGCATGGTTAAGGTTTTTATGGATGTGATTAGATAACTCTGGAAACAATTAGATCAGTCAGATGATTTCATTATTTAGAGGAGTGTGACACAAAGATTTATTTCTCTGCTTTTAGCGATCATTTTTAAAAACATAGTTTTTACCATTTTCAGGTGTCTTTAAATGAAACTGTTACTTTCACTATAATGTGAAATGACTGAAGTCAGAGTTCTGTGTAATCTGAATTTCTCCTGGTTCT